GCCAGCACCCCCCCCCCCCCCCCCCGGCCAACTCCCCCCAGTTTATATGCTAGACCTGCCATCACATGGTATGGAATACCCCTTTGGCCAGTTTGGGTCAGCTGTCCTGGCTGTGTCCCCTCCTGACTTCTTGTGCCCCTCCAGCCTTCCTGCTGGCTGGGCATGAGAAGCTGAAGAATCCTTGACTCTAGTCTAAACACTACTGAGCAACAACTGAAAACATCAGTGTTATCAACATTCTTCTCATACTGAACCCAAAACATAACACTATACCAGCTACTAGGAAGACAATTAACCCTGTCCTAGCTGAAACCAGGACAATGCGTCAGATGTGTTTCTGGTGGTGACTAAAGCTATTGGTGATCTCATTACTCCTTTCCATGTTAGCTGTGTGGCTGTATTTATTGTTCATAAGCTAAACAGATATTTCGGGTTAAGGAAGGGCTATGTATATGAGTTCTAATGGCAATGACATGAAAAATGCCAGAGTATATCCATCATTTCTAAAGGTGCCTAACTGTATATTTATAAACCATATAGTATGAAAATCTGTACATCTGAATTATATATAGCAATAAGAAAACTTAACCTTAAAAAATGTAGCAGATGCCTGTCCCAAGCCTTGGCTGATTCTTTGAAATACATACAAATCCCCTATGGAACTTGGGAATCTCTGAATTTAACATTTGTTACCATTTGTCTTCTGCATTTCAACGGAGTTGCTGAAATATTCTGGTAGAAGTTGGCCTAAGCAGAAGAAGGAAGCACTAGCAGATCCTGTGAGACATCTGGATGTTAATTTATAGAGAGTGAAGTCTGTATAAACAGTATATGTATGAACGGTTTTGTTTGCTCACCTGAGCCAAACTCCAAACTTTGAGACGTATCATCAGCTGTACTGACAAACCTCTCTTTCTGCACAGGCCTTTCTTCATCTTTTTTACACACCCATGAGTTTCCAATCTACTGATCATTTGTAAAGCGTTATATTCAGGAGGTTGGTGTAACCTTGGCTTTTTGTTTGGATGGCTTTTGAGATCTTTTTCATTAAACTATGTTTCATTTCATCTGCTGCCTGTACAGTGATGTTGCCAATGAGTACATGGACATGAAACCAGGAGTGTCGTATGCAGTCCCACCAAAAGCTGATAAAAAACGACCAGTGAAATCTGGTGAGTACAGTGACAAGGAATTCTGTTTGCTGTGGGAGTGCAGAGAGAGTGGCTTCATGGATTTTTTCAATTTTATCACACTTTTGCCTCATGGATGGGGACAATTAAAACTCATTACTAGATGTGGGAAGGCTTGAGAAATAACAATATGCTAAATTACAGTGTCTTGTATTTCTCCACACTTAAATGGAGTACCAGGATTATTTTTTGCTTTTTGGTGATGGCTATTTACATGACTCTAGTCTGGTACTTACCCAGATCACTGTTTTGTTTAATGTTAAGATAGCTCTCTTTCTAAATGATTACACTTGCTCCACTCAAAGGCTGTTGGTGTTTGTGTTGTGCAGGATCCTATACTGATCAGGATGTTACCCTTTCTATGTCAGAAGATGATGAACTTGCTCTAGATGTTGAAGATCTACTAAGCTTTTCTTACCAGGTGGCAAAAGGCATGAGCTTCCTTGCCTCCAAAAATGTAAGTTAAGAATTTTTCAGAGCTGGACAGAATCGGTAGATTTCTGATTTCCTTTAGCATCACTTTCAGTGTTTTAATATGATCCACATGTTCTTTCTGTGTTCTTTTCAACAAGCACTGCAAACTCATATGCTCCTTCTTGTACCTGAAGCTTTGGCTACTGTTGGAGTTCTGTACTGTGCTCATTGGCCAAAAGTGGCATTTTATATCCCATAAAACAGAATGTAGGGTGCACAGTAGTCAGTGTGAAGCAGTGCTATTGCATATCCACAGTTCAGGCTAGTAGAATCAGTGGCCTTGCTCATGAACAGAAACTAGTCATAGAAATGTCAAGAGAAGAGCCAGAGGAGAGGAATTGCAGTGAAGTATGTTTGCTGCACCCCGAGGCTGCACTGATTAATAATGTCATATGTTGGGAGATGGCAAGTGCAGTTGAACCCTGCCTAGCTTGGGTGGTGGCTCTTATGGGTTTGATCTCCAGCCATTCCTTTGTTTCCTGGAGCACACAGGTAGTTTCATCAGAACTCCTGATGGCTTTGGAGGCAGTAAAACCCATAGAAACCCCAAGGAGTTATTTCTTCAGTCTTCTCTGGTGTACAGGAATTAAATGGAATTCAGGAAAGAACTGGAAACCCAACATGTGGACACCTTCAAAAACAATTAAATCTCGAGAGTTTAGGATATATTCTCTGTGGCACTGCTGGAGAGTTTACAAACTAAAGAACAGTATGAAGACTGCTGCAAATCTATCTGTTTGCATGAGTTTTAAACAACGCTGCACTTGCTACTTCTCTCATGCAGAATACTGCCTTAAACAGGGGAGCTACCACATTGTATGCTTTTTTTTTAGCAGTATGGCTTAATGCACAGGCTATGTCTTGGTTTTTAATTTTCTGGAAAGATAAAATCAGCCTAGAGACCCACAAAGAATCTTTGTTGGCTACCCTGACCATAATAGACATTCCTCTGCGTTTCATAGGAGAGGTATTGCATAACAGAAAGGGATCTATAAAGAGTAGAAGTCTTAAGCACAGTGTAATTATGATCTTCCTATGGTTGTTCTTCCATTTTATTTGAAAAATGCCATTTAACATGTAAACATTGTAACTAATATAGACACAGGATAGTACAGGTGCACATTGGATAAAGCTCAAAACCAAACTTAGGCAATTTGAGGAAAATAAGGTAATCCTGGGATCCTGTGTTAGTATTGAGAAATGTGGCTCTAATTCTGCTCCAAAGAAAGTCCACATTAAAACTTGCACTTGTTTTTTTTCCCCACTGTTCCTCCTTCCAAAGCCCTTAGTTTATTTTTCATCTATCAACAGCTTTAAAACAGGCCTGACAGGCAAACACATTATATTACAGATTGTAATGGTTTTCACCAGGCTCCTGGATCCTTCACTATTGAGGACATCCAGTGCTTAGCACACATATTCTTTATTTCTTCTTATTTTCCTATAGAGTAGCCCCAGGATTCACTATGCATTGTTCCCAGTGACTGTTTTCTTTATAGCCTTTCCATTGATAAAAACAGGCACGGTGACATTGAGTGTCAAAGGCAATAACGAATGTAACACCACCTCACTGTGAGATTGGGAAGTAATGTGCAGTATCGCTTTGGCAGTGCAGAATTAACGGCTTTGTCACAGAGTTAAATTGCACTGCACTAACACATTACTGTGCTCGGTCCCCTTTGGTCATTGCGTACATACATGCTTTTCGGTCCAACTAGTAAATGCAGAGTAGTGTGGGCTGATGGATAAGATGCTTCACATTGCCTCATACCCTTGGGGAGGGAGGGTCCACACAGACCAGCAGTGCAGAGTCCCCAGCTGCTCTTCTGCAACTTGTGTATCAAGGCTCAGAAGCATAAAAGTGCCTCTGTGTAGGAGTCAGGATAGGAGCCTGTCCTGGGGGGATAGTTCCCTTATTAAGCACACGGTGCCTTAATCACAAGACAGGACTTCCTCCCATGGACAAAGTCTTTATTCAATGCAAACTGCACTGATTCTGGAGGAACAAGGCAGAGACATGCTGAATGCTTGGCCGTTCCTTCACTTTACTGCTTCAGTACAGTAATTTTCATATGCAAAGTGAAGAATGTGTTGGATTGGGAGGTGAAGGAGAGTCCTCTGACATAGTAATTGTCATTAAAAATAGTTCCTCGTGTAAGCATGCAAAAGGGACAGAGATTAAGTTGCTTATGCAACTTGCAGTTATCATTTCCTGAGTTTGATTTGCATAATTCTTGATATTTTAAGTCATTTTTTGAAGGGAACTCATAAAGTTTTGTATTTCAAGGCAAAAAAATGAAGATAAAATTGAACTGTCTTCAGCTATTTTTTGGAAAGCTGTGGCCTGCATACTATATACCATCAGTAAAGTGGGAGCTCAATGCTCTCCTTTCCAGATGGAAAAAGAGATCATTTTGTTAGAGAACTACCTCCATTCTCTAACAAATGCACATGGGCTCCACGGTTGCATACAAAGAAAATGCAACCGCTGGGAAACTCAGGCACCCTTCTGGAGCTGCAGTTACAAAGACATACACACTTCTGAAGTGAAAACTGCAGTATAAGCTAGCTAGGTCACTAAATGCTCGCCTATTCATTGAAAGATACTGGCACGTGAAAATTTCCACGATCTTCAAATACTTAGGCCTACTTATAAAACTCTCCTAGGTACTTAATAATTCAAGTCTTCCAGAGGAGTATTTTTGAAATAGGATTCAGTTTCCTGACTTCTGTGCTTTGAAGTTGTTACCATAATTTTCCCTATTTTCAGCTTTTCAACACTTTCCCCTCAAACGCAATAGCTACTTCATAAAAGGTTGGAATTATTTTAGAAACAAACCACATTTTCTTCTTATGTGTCCTGTGTTAGGAAACAAGCCAGTGATTTTTTGATAAAAAGTCAGAGAAAAAGTACATTAAACTTTAACTGCAAACATGAAACACTAGAAAATTCAGCATGACTACAAGTGGTCTTTTAGAAAAGAAATGCATAGACAAGCTTAACTGTGTGGATCAATGTCATGATAGCAAAGACACTACACCAGAATGTTTAATCATCTGAGTAAGCTTATCAACACCTGGCTTCATTATGACTTTCAGCTTGCCATAAAATGCATAATGCAGTAAGTTATATAGCTAAGTAAACATGTAACCAAGCAACAGCCTGTTCAGGATATTATAAAATAGCTTTGTTTGTTTGTCTTTGTTATTTAGTGCATTCATAGGGATCTGGCCGCAAGAAATATTCTTCTCACTCATGGTCGAATAACAAAAATCTGTGACTTTGGCCTGGCAAGAGATATAAGGAATGACTCAAATTATGTGGTCAAAGGAAACGTAAGTATATATGATATTTTATCCACCTGTTTTAAGTTAGGGGAATTCCTGTTGTCTTGACGTGGAAAGAAAAGTTTTTCTTAGTTAGGCAGAAACCTAGGTTTCCCAATTCTGATATATATGCATGCTGGTCAAGAACATTAGGAGGAGCGATTCCTGATGTAGATGTGTATGCTGATAAAAACCCTTGGTATATACATGTTGTTACACTGGAAAAAATGTGCTGGTATCTGAATGTATGTTGTAGTGGAAGAGATGTTTTTGCTGCACCAATGTAACTCCCAGTCTTTCTGTTGTATCTGAACGTACTAAAAGTTACAGCTCTCTGAGTAGTTGCAAGTTTTGCCATTGGAATATTCTGGTAGCCCTATCCTAAGTATAAATATTTTGAAACTTTTTCTCTGGGCATTGCTATATTTGTCCATTACTGAAATAGTTTATTTTAAAAATATATACATAATCAGGGGTTTGCATCCTGTTCTTTGCTATAAAGCATCACTCAGACAGTGGAAACTGGATCCTGAAGTGTAAATTTATTGATTGGGGCATAGTGGGAGGCAAAAAAGCCCTGGTTTTCTCTGATTCCATATACAGACTTTAACCTTGTATATGTAACAAATACAGCCTTAACTTGCAGCTATAGTTCAAACCCTGTAACAGGGTTGGAACAAGACACTATATTTTGATGAGAAGAGTTTAAAACCTCCCATGTAGAAGAGTATCAATCACACTAGTACCTACTAGACCTCTGGAGGGGTACAAAGACACTTTGAAGTGATGCAGATTACCTTGGCAGCACTCGAAGTCCCCTTTAAAGTGCTAGTACAGTAAAAGGAGCCCTACTACAAAAGAAAATCGAGCTTGTCTGTGGTTAAGCTGGAGAAGTGTGCCACGAAGTATAGGTATTTTGCACCTCAAACTGATTTGCACTGCCTGGATTGGTGTTTTAAATCTGTGTCAGTAATGTGCAGCAAGCCACTGCCTTCAGAGTACACACGCTTTCACTTGCGCCATTTTTCAAAGGAGAGAAGATCATGTTGAACAAGGCAGCCCTCCTCCCCAGCCCAGCTGAGTGCTCCATGGTCAGGGGCTGGTTGTTAGTTAGGGACTTGACAACACATGAACTGAAGCTTGCCCATGCTGGCTTTGGGCAAACTTGGCTAAGAGAGAAAATCCCACACCTGATCATTTCTCACCAAAGTGGTTTGCCACACTCGGTTAACCTCAGCCAGTCCATGGCACCTCAGGTATCTGAGATATCTCTGCTGCTCTGCTGTCACCCAGCAGCCTCTGATGTCCCAGGTACCTACAGCATCCCCATTTTAGGCTACGGGAGAGATGGGTTTATTGGTTGTCTTCAAAAACAACGTTGCTACCAGCCACTGGGTGCCTAGAAGTTGAGGTTAGGGAACAATAGGAGCTGAAACAATTCAGGAATGGCTGTCCTGGCAAGATATTGAGTGCCATTTAGTGTAAGAAAGCTGCTTTCAGGCTCAAGGTCAGGTCAGGAGCTGCTTGATCATTCAAGGCTCCTGGGAGTGGGAAGTGCAGACCAGCAGCTTAGGAGGGAAGTGGGCAATAAGTAATTAAGTTTTACTTGTCTAGGCTACCCTTTAAGTTTCCTGAGTTGCCTGAGAATAGGATTTTATGTAGCCTGAAAGGGTCAGAGGAGGATAGGGTGCAGCTGCCTGGGGAGAGAGGAAGCAGTGGCTGCAGGAGGTGTTTAGTTGCATCTGGCCTGATCTTAAAGCAGATCAGGAGTGCTGGGGCATCGCTAGCCGTGGACGCTGCTGGGAGGCAGTGCTGCTGACAGCACATGGGGGCTTGGCCAAGAAGAGTGCTGTCTGTGTGGTTCAGGAAATAAACAACTCTGGTTGCCTCTCTGGTGAGCCAGCCCATGGCAAATGCTGCCTTTCCTCCACCTCATTTCTTTTTCTTTCCATTTACCTCCTTTTCTGTTGGGTCTCCTTTCCTTAGAAGACATCGAGGGTCTTCTCTATAGTATGGTTGAAGTATATCTTTGGCCACATCATTGCAAGACCACTTAAAAGGAAGAGGCCTGCTTTCCCCCACAGCAGGACAAATGCTTAGGACAGAAGCCCTTTCCTCTGCTCCAGTTAGCATTCCGAAGGGATGTCTGTCCCCACACAAACTTATGAAAAATCATAGTCATAGAATTGTTTAGGTTGGAAAAGATCTTTAAGATCATCAAGTCCAACCGTTAACCTAACACTGCCAAGTCCACCGCTAAACCATGTGCCTAAGCACCACATCTACATGTCTTTTAAATACCTCCAGGGATGGTGACTCAACCACTTCCCTGGTGTCCTGGTTTCATCTGGGATAGAGGTAATTGTCTTCCTAGTAGCTGGTATAGTGCTATGTTTTTCAGTTAGGTATGAGAAAAATGTTGATAACACACTGATGTTTTCAGTCGTTGCTAAGTCACATTTAGATGAAGTCAAGGATTTTTCAGCTTCTCGTGCCCAGCCAGCAAGAAGACTGGAGGGGCACAAGAAGTCAGGAGGGGACACAGCCAAGACAGCTGACCCAAACTGGCCAAAGGGGTATTCCATACCATGGGACATCACGTCTAGTATATAAACTGGGGGAGTGGGGGCAGGGGGGATTGTCGCTTAGGGACTAACTGAGCCTCAGTTGGCGGGTGGTGAGCAATTGCATTGTGCATCATTGGTATATTCTAATACTTTTATTACTATTGTCATTTTATTAGTGTTATCATTATCATTATTATTTTCTTCTTTTCTGTTCTGTTAAACCATTCTTATCTCAACCTGCGAGTTTTACTTCTTTTCCCGATTTTCTCCCCCATCCCACTGGGTGGGGGGGGAAGTGAGTGAGTGGCTGCGTGGTGCTTAGTTGCTGGCTGGGGTTAAACCACGACACCTAGGCAATCTGTTCCAGTGCTTGACAACCCTTTTGGTGAAGAAATTTTTCCTAATATCCAATATAAACCTCCCCTGGCACAACCTCAGGCTGTTTCCTCTTGTCCTATCGCTTGTTACTTGGGAGAGGAGACTGACACCCACCTCACTACAACCTCCTTTCAGGTAGTTGTAGAGAGCGATAAGGTCTCCCCTCAGCCTCCTTTTCTCCAGGCTAAACAGCCCCAGTTCCCTCAGCCGCTCCTCATAAGACTTGTGCTCCAGGCCCCTCACCAGCTCCATTGCCCTTCTCTGGACATGCTCCAGCACCTCCATGTCTTTCCTGTAGTGAGGGGCCCAAAACTGAACACAGCACTCAAGGTGCGGCCTCACCAGTGCCCGGTACAGGGGGACAATCACCTCCCTGCTCCTGCTGGCCACACTATTTCTGATACAGGCCAGGATGCCGTTGGCCTTCTTGGCCACCTGGGCACACTGCTGGCTCGTATTCAGCCAGCTGTTGACCAACACCCCCGGGTCTTTCTCTGCCGGGCAGCTTTCCAGCCACTCTTCCCCAGCCTGTAGCACTGCATGGGGTTGTTGTGACAGAAGTGCAGGACCCGGCACTTGGCCTCATTGAACCTCGTACAATTGCCCTCGGCCCATCAATCCAGCCTGTCCAGATCCCTCTGTAGAGCCTTCCTTCCCTCAAGCAAATCAACACTCCCGCCCAAAATATGTATGTCAATATGTATTTCTTTCCTGTGAATTTTCCTTTTTTTTCTGGTACACTGAGAAGCTAAAGCAGATGTCTTAACTGTTGATTAAAGCATTGAACCATCTTGACTATGTGAATCTCATCTGTGTGCCTATGGTAGCAAGTCCACGGAAGTAGACTTGCATGTTTATGTAAGGAACCATGCCATGGTCATGTACATTATTTTGCTCTGACTTCCTGCCATCCCTTATAAACAAGACAGAAGGAATCACACAGTATACAGAAAATCAGAGTGCAAGGCACTGCACAAGTTTGGTAGACCCACAGAAAGATGGATCAGTAACCATGCAGCACTTGGAGACTCTAAAATGCCGAGATTTCCATTTTTGGTTGGATACTTCTATTTCTTGTTTTAACAAATATTTAAAGCACATAAGAAGTAGAAAAGGTTAATTTTATCTTGTAAATTTTGTATGCCTTATGTCCATTGTCTTAATTTGTTCTCTTTTCCCTGGAAAGGCTCGTCTTCCTGTGAAGTGGATGGCACCTGAAAGTATTTTCAATTGCGTCTACACCTTTGAGAGTGATGTCTGGTCTTATGGAATACTGCTTTGGGAGCTCTTTTCTTTAGGTAAGCTCCTTCAAGATCTGTACTTCAGAGGATTTCTGTTTCATCTTGGTTTTACTGCAGATGCAGAAATCATGTTGCTCGCATGCTCTTTCAACAGGAAGCAGCCCATATCCAGGGATGCCCGTGGACTCCAAGTTCTATAAAATGATCAAGGAGGGATACAGGATGTTCAGCCCTGAGTGTGCACCGCCTGAAATGTAAGCGAGCAACAAGCACCTCTGATCACCAAACACCAGCAACGATGCAAAGGAAGGGAAGCTTCCATTCTTGCATTAGGGCTTATTGCACTGCCCCATTGTCTTTTTTTTAAGTTCTTTTCATGTTTTAAATAATTCATATACTCTAACTAGCAGAATACATGCCTGTGTTGTTACAAGCAATGAAATACACTCATGCCTTCTACCATCTGATCACTTTGTCGTGGCATCTGCTCCATATCAATAAATTATTGACGGATCACAGAACATAATTAAACATTTTTAATTCAGATAGAGCAGTCAGTGAGATGTATCACCAGACTGTACAGCATCTGCATTTGTGCTGTACTTCCTGACAGCAAGAGGACTGGCTACTGATCTTCGTTATGAGCCATCCCTAATTCACTGTTTTGTGAAGGGATTGGCACTTAGCAAGCTGTCAAAGAAAACTCTGTCCAGAGACTCCTATTAGTATTGAGTCCTTTGTTGTCACAAGCACAGGTCTTAGCAGTACTATTTCTATTCTTAAAAGTCATTTAAAGAAAGTGAACTGTGGAACTGGGTCACACTTTTCTTTCAAATAATAATGGAGGCAAGATAAGAGCTTTAAGGATTTCCTTGTAAGCGGTACTTAATTTCAGTATCTTTGCAGGTATGACATAATGAAGAGTTGCTGGGATGCTGATCCTTTACAGAGACCCACATTTAAACAAATAGTACAGCTGATAGAACAGCAGCTTTCAGATAATGCCCCTCGGGTAAGTTACAGATCATCATTTTTTTGGAGTCAATGCTGTTTCAAGCAAGACGTTAGACTAGAGCTGTGAGGAGCAAAGAGCCCGGGCGCCTCATCATTTTTCCAGTATTATTTATGTAGCTTTGCACTATCAGTTTGGGTGGTAGGAATGATGTCTGGGCCTCTCACTTCTTGGTTGTGCCATTAGACAGTAGCTGTCTAAGCCCATACCCAAAACATACCAGCTGGAGAAGATTCTTTGCATGATTGATGTTTCTTACTCAACCTGACACTATAATTCTGATGTTACAAAATGCAATGGTACTGCATAAATTCATCTTATATTAAACTATGAAATATTTTATTAATCTGGGAAACATCTCAGAAGTGAAGTATATTTAGCTTTTATTAGAAAAGCTTTCTGGATGAAGAGGTTGAGCTTTTGGTGCTCTTCTGCCTCTTCTCACTTGCTTCCCGTAGCTCTATTTATATAAGCTTGGAGGTATGTCGTGACAAACTGTATTCACTGCTCTTTCGACCATTCCCTAGCAAAAGCTTTTTCTGAGAGGGTAACTGGACAAAACAGTCCAAAGAAAAATTGGAGGCACATCAGAAACTTGGGTTTTTTCTCACAATAACATTGTGTGTTACTGGGGTTTAAAAAAGTAAGTTTAAAACCTGGTTTAAAAACAAAGCTTCCATTTACCTTCTGGATGCCTTGTTTGGGCACAGAGTACATGGCTTCCTGACAATTTTAGAAAAGAGGAAACTGAAAGCTGCTGGTGTTCGATTGCATCCTGTAGCGTGTTTTTGGCAGGTGGAGGAATTACTAAAACAAAAGCAAGAATGTGAAGGAAGTATTAGTGAGGTTTCTGGGGGAGTTTAGTAATAACCTCATCTGCATTTTTTCAAGCTCAGTTGAAATTTGGTATGCAGTTGGAAGCTGTGGTGTTAATAACTGTGATTGAGGTTCTTGATTCTTTAAAAGAGCAGTTAAGCTCAAGACCTTTTGAAACTCTCCTTACATTTGCAAAGAAACACCTGAGCTGGAACCCTTCCACGGCGGTGTGTAGTACACAGTGGGAAAAGGCTATGAAAGGAGAGTTCTCCAAGTATGTGCAAAGGGAGTAGTCTGCAGAGTATTGACACTGGTCTTTGGCTTCTTCAGGTTTATGCAAACTTCTCAACTCCACCTTCCAGTCAAGGAAATGCTCCAGATCACTCGGTGAGGATTAACTCGGTGGGTAGCAGTGCTTCATCTACTCAGCCCCTCCTGGTACGCGAAGATGTTTGAGTGGCATCTGGAAGAAGAGGAGGCCAGATGTATTAGCTGTTTGTATTGTGCAGGGGGTGAGAGACGGACGACTTCAATAATTTCTCTTACTTTTACTCACTACTACCACTGTGTAGCTGAAACGTTGTTGTAATACTGTCCTTCACCACACACTGTTACACATAAACTTAATCTGCTGAGCACGGTTACAGGCATCATTGCAATGTTAACTGAAGCTGTATATATTTTGCTATATTGTGTGTATTTGCAGTAGAGAGCCAGATCTGAAGAAAAAAAAAACAACCAACAAAAGAAATCCTGAGCCAGGGTGTGGAACAAGATGACTGCAGATCAAACCAAATCTGCAGTGATCCTTCTGTGGATCTGTGCCTGGAAGGCGTACAGTCATTTTCTGGTTAATCTTGTTTTGCTGAATTTAAGAAATAAACAAATATGAAGCTAATGGCTTTGCAAACCCCTTTCCATGTCCAGCCAAGCCTGAGAAGCTTTCCCAGGTAGGTATCATAGGTTGGAGGCCAGCGAGGGTGCTGGATGTACCTGGGTGAGAGAGGTGAAGGGACTGAGACCTTTCCAAAGTTGGTCTGCACAGCAGCAAACCCTCCTGGGAGCCCTGGGGTTTGAACCAGAGGAGGGAAGAAGAGTGTGAATCTTCATCTTTATTTCCCACCCACGCTGTCAGCCTTGCAGATGGGTCGCAAGGTTTCTGTGGGTGTATGCACTACTTACCACTGGCCCCTTGCCTGCCAGGGATGGAGCTGCCCATCGCTGGGTCTCACCCCACCATGGAGCCTGAACTGCTCCCACCCACCCCCCCTCCACCGCCTTGGGAACCCGAGGGCTTCGATGCTTGTTTTGCTAATAGTCATGTCCAAAAGTGTTCACCAAAGATAGGTGGGCCCTGCCAAGTTAGTCAAAATAGGGGAGGAGGGCTGCTTCCAGTAAACTGTGTGTCTGGAGGAGAGGCCGTTTAACGAGTCATCTTATCTAGGCAAGAGCAGAGGCAAAAAATTCTCTCCTGGGGGCCCTTTCTTTATCTTGTCCTACCCAGGTGAATCTTTCCCACAGGCAGGCTTGGATAGTGCTAACTGGAAAGGGTTACTTTCCCCCCACCCTGAGTCTTTTCATCTTTCTGTAGTAGTCCAGAGATCATAATGAAGAAGAGCCTAACTGGGAAGTGCTGAATTTAAAAGTGGGATAAAAGAAAGAATCCCTTCGGTCTTGTTTGACAGACGTGAGGCTTTGGGGTCAGTATCTGTTGAGCCTAGGGTTGTGCTCAAGTATCTTCTAACCCCTTCCCATAGGAAACTCTGCTAGTTCTTTTCTTCCTTTGTTTCTGTCCCCTAGAAATTAGTAAAGGCATTGAGAGAAGCATTTGTCAGAGGCAGAGTACTAGTTGAGTACCTATTTATTTACAACGCACTTAAGCACTCTGTAACTTATACTATACCAGGATTTTGGTTGAGTTTACATGCAATTTAAATGTGTAACTAACTGCCCAAATGCAAGGTAATTGTAAATACACACACTGGTAGTATATTTTGAGTTATGTTGAATACCACGCTCCTTCTATGACTGTGCATTTGGTTTAATGTTACAGGAATCTGTCTTTCAGAGTTAAGTAAAAAATCAGCCATTTGCACTGAACTTACTTAGGCTGTTGCACCTTTCCAAAGTTAGCCAGTTGTTTGGAGGCACTCTTATGCATACTTCTTGTTGAGCATTTTCAGTTTAATGCTATAAAAGCTCTTATGTAACGTGTTGGCTTTCAGAGCAACTGTAGACAAACTAGTTGTTATAATTATAGATGTCTCGGTACTTTACGGACACTTAGCTGAAAGAGGTTTGGGTTTTTTCGTTCTTGAAATTTATATTTTTATAATTTGGGGATTTTTGAAACTTATTTTGCAATGGCTTGGTGTTTTGAATAGGTTTATGCATTGTTTTTGTAAATATGGAAATGTAGCAATAATGTCCTTTTGACTATTCTCAGTCCTTGAGTCTCAAAAATATTTTTTTATATATATATATGCAAAAACTATATGTATAAATATGTAAGTGTTTGAAAGTTTATGAAACACTTATGGATATGTTGCTCGGTTGTAGAATTGCCGTTCAGAAAAGTTCAAATAAATCTGTAAATATGTATTCAAATGCTACTGACGTGTACTATGTTAAGATGAATATTTTCATGTAAGTCTTAATAAACTCTTGGGTTGAAGCAAAATCTCAGTGTCTGGCCACACAGAGGTCAAGTTTGGCATTCTGAAACATTTTTGCAAATGTATGCCAGAAAACCTTAATGTTTATTTGTTATGAAAGTTCTTTACCTGTGAATAGACGGGACAAATACTTGGAAACTTGGATGCAGCTTCATTCTGGAAAAAACTGCAACTAGAAGATTCATCCTGTAGACTCTTGATGCAGTCTGTATGTCATGAATAGTATTTAAAATTGAACAAAAATATCTCGGTGTTATTGAGGGTATGTCCCCTCCTGCATGCTGGCACTAGGGCTTGTGCTGGGCTGGCTGAATGCAGCACTGCAGGGGAGGCAGCGTGAGATACCTAGTGCTGCTTTGGTTGGCGAGGTCATAAAGAGAAAACGTAATGCTTCCCTTGCTGAGCAGGTACCCCTCATCTTAGTGGGAGACCCTCTGCTTTAATTACTCCAGGTTTGAAATCTGTGACTCACCTGCTAACATGTTTTCCTCTGCTGCATAAGGCTTTGCATCAGCATGGTTGGTGCATGGTTTGATAGTAGGTACAGAGCATATAAGCAAAAGTTTCTAGAATTATCCTACCAAAACCCCCTACTAACTCATATGAGAGACAAACATCAACTGTTTTGGTCCTTAAGCATTTCTGTTCTGTCAACAGACATCCCTGAAGAGCTCCCCTCCTTCAGAGTTTCCTTTTTAAAACAGCTTCCTTTTTTTTTTTTTCTTTTTTGCTTCCACCCAGGTCTTGGCTCTGTTTGTTAAAACTAATTAAGGAAATTAAAAACTAATTTTGTCAGGAGCCAGGAGGTGCAAGTTTTGCCACAGTTAGCACTGTTACCGTTTTCTAATAATGCTTCAGAAGATACTGAGTTTGTGGCTGATTTTGGACCATTTTTTCTCCTGTCTTGTCCACCCCCCCATTCAAGCAAAGTAGACTTCATACTGAGGCATTCCAGTATCTGAATTGGTACAAATAATTAGTGGATTCTCATTTAGCATAGCCAAAGGAGCTATTTTATATATTTATTCAGTTAGCACAACATTGATTTTATTTTCCTGAAATGTTTCCCCTTCTGAAGCAACCTAGAATACAGCATCTCTGCTTTCTGAAAAAAGCAGAGCTTTCTCCTATTTTCTTCTTACAAGGCCTGCAGGGATTACCACCTCCGTTCCCATTCATGGTCATACGGACCATTTCCCCCTAAATTATTTTCTTGTGCCAGTTCTAAACAACAGCTTACATGGAAAAGCACATCAGGAAGGCATTTAATATGTAGTTTAGCTGTCCTTCAAAGCATTATTGTACCCAGATATAAAGAGAAACCAGCACCATGATACCAGCATGGAGCCTTGGGACCATGGACCATCATGGACTCAAATATCTGAAGGGAGGGTGCAAAGAGGACAGAGCCAGGTTCTTTTCAGTGGTGCCCAGTGACAGGACCAGAGCCAATGGGCACAAATTGAAACACAGGAGGTTCCATCTGAACATCAGAAAATGATTTTATTTTTTTTACTGTGAGGGTGTCCGAGCACTGGCACAGGTTGCCCAGCGAGGTTGTGGAGTCTCCATCCTTAGAGATATTCAAAAGCCATCTGGAGACAGTCCCGGGAACCGGCTCTAGGTGGCCCTGCTTGAGCAGGGGGCTTGGACCAGATGACCTCCAGAGGTGCCTTCCAACCTCAACCATTCTGTGATTCTGCAATCAGTTATGGCACTTTGGAGAATCTCAGCTGTAGCATTCACTTGGCCAGAAGTAGAAAAGAAAAATCCCACCCTTGTACTGAATGCTATAGAATGATTCTTCCTCCATTCTCTTTACTAGCTAGAGAAGAAAATACTTGTAGGCTCTGTGAGAGAGAAGAAGAAAGATCATGGAAACACAACAGTATACATAGAGTTAGTGACCTGTATTGTATGCATCACACCACCAGATTTTTTTTGTTTCTGGTTCTCCTTCACATCTGTTGCTGTATGGGTCTTTGGGGAAGTTGTCTGTAAATGGAGACACGATGTGCCTGGTCACATCACCAGGGAATGACCAGTCATACCCCGGGCCGAAATGTTCACAGCGATCACTGAAGAGATTGGACAATAGCATCCTTAATTCTACTGTGTTGTAGGCTAAAACCGAGAGAGTGAAACATTTCCCTCTTCCTGTATGTGGATTAGGAAACTTCCTACTTGTCCTGTGGGGAGGTCTGAGTCTCAACAGAAGACAAGGAGCAGTTGCATAGACCTTTTAGCCCCCGAACTGAAGCTATAACAAAAATATGAAAACCTACTCTGCAGTTCTTGTGGTTTCCAGAAACTTCTGTAACTATGAATAATGGTTACAGATGACCTTCAATTGCCATGTTTCCTGAGCACTAAGTTCTTAAAAGATTACTCCGTAACTAATAAGTTTATGTCCAAAAATTGCTCTAAGGCTATGTTTTCTGAAAGATTGTCCATATTTCATAAATTGATTATCAGTCACTCTTTTTGGTAATAACTATTGTCGGTCAGCTGCCAGCCAGGCAGCAGAGGTTATTTACTAGCAGCAGTAGCTCTAGTGACTTGATTTTTCTGTCTGTGGCCTGGAAATCATTTTAGCTAAGTTGTGACAGGCAGTAGAAACCAGCTGACCCTAAAGGGCCTGTTGGGCTTCGAGACTGCACTCGTCAATAAGCAATGTCAGCAGCATCCGATCAGGGGTTCGCGTGGCATGTTTAACGCTATCCAACCATCAGGTCCCCACACGGGAAGGCGCAGTGTGTAGCTTCCCCTATAGATCAATACACATCAGTGTGTAGTGCAAGTTACCCCAGTATTTTCTCTAGCTGCAGAAAGTGCAAAATAATTTTTTACTTCCCCCAAATATGTACATTTTGAGAAGTATCAGCACCAGTGGTTGGCTGCACTTCTGTGAATTACACTGCACATGCTTTTGGCTGGTCTAAATATCGTTACCAGGCAGGGGGCCTTGCTCTTAATATGTGGTGGTGGTGGGTTTTGGTGTGGTCATCAGAAAAGGAGTTGGCTTAGTGGCACACCTGAGCACTCAGGTTTGGTGACTGAAATAACAGGTGACATTTGACTTGCCTGCTCAAGGTGGGAGGAGGGCTGCTGAGCAGCGCAGCAGACCTGGGTCTAGCTGCCTGGTGGGCTGGGGATGAAAGGAGTGAAAGACATTCCTCATGCCTCCAGCCTATTCAGTACATTAAAAGAAAATTTTAAAAGGGCAATAGCAACCTCCCAAATGCTGTTTTTGGCATTTCCTCTTCTGAGTTAAAATAGCAAAACAATTCAAACTCATTTATGAGATGAAAACATTTTTGTATTTTCCCCTTCAGTCATTTTTCATTCAAAAGCTGTTGGCATTTTTCTTCTTTTGATAGGACCAAACATTAGCTAGTCATGTGGTCCCAGAAATTAGTATTATTTGGAAATTTCCAGAGTTCTTGTGCAACCTGTTTTGGGTTTCAACTCACTCTGGTAGACAGGATGTCTCTGGACCTAAGCACCAAAGGAAAGACTTCTCCTGGACTAGAAACAACAGATCAAAAATGACAGTTGCTCCACCAAAAGCAGTAAGTAGTTGCACAGGCCCTTGCCTGCCTGAGGATAGCCTTGAGTTGCTGCACTGGTAAAAGCAGCAGAAGCACGATGTGCCTCTTGTGCTGGGTACCAGCATGTGGCTGAGCCCGGCAGCAGCGGAGGAAG